TCCCCTGCTGCATCAGTCCATCCTCAGAGTCTCCTTCAGGTGGATGAGCTGAGGATGCGGGAGTCTGCGGAGTCTGACCGCTCCTCGTACTCCTCCTCGGGGGAGTAGAGGCCTGGTTTGGGCCCCAGCGTGCAGCTCTCCTCCTGGATGCTGATGCGCGGCTCCTCGGGGGCCCTGGAGGGGAGGATAGGGGAGCTGCGGAACACGGGGCCACCGGGTCCGGAGGGCGCTGCGGGGGAGAAGGGGGACACGTACTGCGCGGCCGAGCGGAGCTGGTACTGCTGCTGCAGGGCCATGGTATTCCACAGGGTCACGTCGTTGTGCACGAACGGACCCGCCTGGCTGCGCGTCAGAGAGTTGCGCAGCATGAGCGGGTAACGCGTGGGCTGCGGGAAAGACGGGTGCTGCAGGGGCACGCCCAGCGGGCCCGCGGGCACCACACCCGAGGCGGAGTCGGACGTGAACCGCAGGGACTCGGGCACCCGGAACGCGGAGCCCACCGACCACTTGGCGGAGGAGGACACCGGGTGGTACGAGCCCAGCGTGTGCTCGAACAGGTGTCCGTTTGAGGGCAGCACCAGGGCGTCCGGGTGCGCGTCAGTGTGCGTGTGTGCGTCCGGACTCCGGCTGGACAGCAGCACCTCGATGGCCCCCACCAGGTCCCCCCCGCAGCCCCGGAGGATGAGCTCCAGGACCGGGGGCTTGTGAGCGGGGAAGATCTTCTTGAGGACCTCCAGCGGGGGCCGGTTGGCTCGGAGGCTGAAGGGCAGGTTGATGGAGCCGGCGAGGCCCTCGATCAGGACGCTCTGCTCCACGGGGCTCACCGGGTACTTGTGGGGAGGACTCTCGGTCTTGGCCTCCTTCTCTGTGCCGGCCTTGGGGAGGCTGTAGCGGCTCTCCTCCGGCTGGGTGGGGGTCTCCGGAGGCTCCGGGGTGTAGCAGGAGTTTGGTTTGGAGGCCTCCGGGGAGCTGAGCGGCTCCTGCTCCTTCTCACTGGAGGAGTTCTCTCCTCCTGACGCGTCATCAGCTCCGTCCTCCGCCTCTGCAGGAAACACAACACACGTCAGCAAAGAAACACACAACTGAGGAATCATCCGATGTGACACAAACTTTTCTCCCAGTGAAACCACAGACAAAGAACAAACACTGCAAACTACTGTAAACTACTGTAAACTGATGTAAACTACTGTAAACTGATGTAAACTGATGTAAACTACTGTAAACTGATGTAAACTACTGTAACCTGATGTAAACTACTGTAAACTGATGTAAACCTGATGTAAACTGATGTAAAACTAATGTCAACTACTGTAAACCTGGTGTAAACAGGAGGAAACATGTTGCCACCTCCTGTGAGGATCTCCTCCTCCTCCTCCTCAGATCTGAGCACTAACTCCTCTCTCATGTGAAGTTGACCCCCTGAATGAAATGGTGTGATGACATGAACGTGTCTGCATCATTGAACTCTGATCTGGAGTCAGCTGATCTGCTCGTGAGTCCAAACTATCGAGAAACAGACAAAACCACTTTGTTCTGCAGGAGAAACATTCACCAACATTTATCATATTCACTTGAATCATTTCATTATCAGGTCATTTTGTAGAGTAAAAAATCTCTTTTAGCAGCAAAGAGTTGTGAGAATAACACGTATTTTAGAATGCTGATTTAAAATTACACAAATGAATTTATTAAAAGAATTAAATCCACC